ATAGACCTTGAATTTTTAGCACTGTCTTCAGAATGATTACGGATGGATCCTTTCAGTGTTATTTTATTTGGTTCTGATTGTCCATGACCACACTTGGACTGTCCATGGGTTAATGTTGACTCTTTGAGTCTCTTTTACCACCACTAAACTGACCATAAACATATCTGCGTTGCCTACTTTTACTAGAATCAGACTGTATGGATGAAGCTGACCCTGAGTGTCTGGAGCTATTTTCTGATTGTTGGTGGCTGGATACATGTTTTCTCATGTGCAATACCCAGATTCCCCATGAGTAAACCATATTATTAGTGTCCATTAGTGCATGTCTAGGCATGACCTGAATATATAGTGCAGTCTTCTGTCTGTCCCTGGCTAGAGGTTTGTCTGCCTGTGTGCTGAATCCATGAGTGGCTCTCTGTCTCCAGGGAGATTCTGAGTATATGACATAATCTCCTTGTCTTCCTCTGGTGCTAGACTCAGATTTCACATGTCTGTATCCAGACTGTCCATATATTGATGCTATTTCTTCTCTGAATCTTCTAATTGCTCTTCATTATCACTGGACTGGCTGTAGCTGAATCCTCAATGTCTACTTTCCTTGTACCCAGATGATGATTGTCTATGTCCAGGAAGAGTTTGTAGAGCTGTATCCTGACTCTTCAAGGCAGGATTCTTGCCTTTCTCTTTTACTTGACCTTGAAAGCCTATGGGAAGAATCAGACTGTCCATAATGATTATTTGGCCTTCATGAGATCCTGAACATTGGAGCTATTTCTTGACTGCCCATGGCAGGATTCTTGATTTTCTCCTCTACTGGATCATGTGTGTCCATGGTTGGACTCAGATTGTCTATTAGTGGCTTTCTGACCTTAATGAGACCCTGAGTTTCTTGAACTGCCTATTGACTGGCCATAAATGGATTTGCATTGGTTTTAGAACTGGACTTAGACCATCCATGGGTTGATTTTTACTGTCTTTCTGAATTGTCTGATTGTCCTTCACTATCATTGGCTTGACCAATATTGGACCTGTGGTGTTTTCTTGTTGTAGATTTAGTCTGTATAGATTATAATTGCCTATGAAATGACCCAGATTATCCATAAATATACTCATGCCTTTTTCTTGTGTTGGACCTACATTCTTCATGGGTAGACCCAGCTTGCCTATGGGTAGATGTCTGCTCTTGGTAGAACCCTGGACCATCTCCTAATTTCCCATGGCTGAAATAATCTCTTTCTCTTGTGCTAGACCAGACTCCTTATGGTCATTTTCAGATTTATTATATTGTTTCTGATTGTCCTTCACTATTACTGGACTGACCATAATTGGATCCCCCTTATCTGCTTATACTGGACCCAGACTGGGTAAAATTATGATAGTTTGAGAGTAAGCGTTGAGTGTCTACAGCTTTCTCTGTTTGTCCTTGGCTAAACTGTGTGCTTTTGGTGCTGGATCTCAACTGTCTATAGATAGGTGCAGACTGCTTTTCAGTGTGTGTCTGTCCTTCATGATATTCTGAGTGTTTAGAACTGTCTTCTGACTGTCTGTGTCTCAACTATCTGTAATCATACTCAGACTGTCCATGGGTTGATACTTTCTATAAGTCTTCTGATATTACTATCACTACAATCATTGGATACTCAATGTCTGTTTATATTTGAGCCAGGCCTTGTAGGTGCAGATTGTCTGTGAGCAGATCTGGAACATCTAGAATGATCTCCTGGTTGTCCATAATAAGATACATGTCATTCTGTTATACCAGACCCATATTCTCCTTGGGTGGACCCAGAATGCCCATGGATTGCTGTCTGGCCATGTTGACATCTTGAATGTCGAGAGCTGTATTCTAACTTTCCATGGCTAGAATCCTGCCTTTCTCTTGTGTTGGATCATGATTGCTTATGGCCATACTCAGACTGACTGTGGGTAAAAGCTGACAGTCTATCTTATTTCCCGATTGTCATTCACTATCACTAGATTGACTATAACTGAATGCCTGTTTTCTGCTATTGGTAACAGACCATGTGGATCTTACCTGACTGTCTACTGCTATCATCTGACTATCTATGGCTTGATTCTTTTCTCTTCTACTGAACTCAGACTGTTCATAGACTATTGCTAATTCTTAATCTGAGTCTCATGACAGTCCTTCACCAGCCTAATTGGATTCTTATCTATTTTTACTGGTTCCAGATTTTGCTGGTAATGATTATTTATGAGCTGACTCTAAGTATTTGGAGTTGTCTTCCAAGTGTTCACAGGTAAATCTGTGTCTTACCGTTTTACTGATCACTGCTCTCCATGACTAGACCCAAACTGTCCATGAATTTATGTCTGGCCACGAAAAGACGTGGATTGTCTAGAGCTGTCTCATGTTTGTTCATGGACTATCTATCTGGCTTTTTCTAGTGATGGATCCTGATTGTTCACATGTAGATTCAGACTGACCACGAGTGGATGTTTGTCTCTGGTAAGACCTAGCATTTAGAGTTTATAGACATATCTCTTATTGACCAACTGCCCATGGGTTGATTCTGATTATATCTCTTTGTCTCCAGATTGTATTTTATGGTCACTGGCCTGATTATAACTTTATCCTTGATATCTGCTTATTTTGGGTCCAGTGCTGCCTTTTGATTGTCTATAGTGAACCAATTTCTTTTCCTGGTGTTGAACACAGATTCTTCTTGGAAGACTAAATTGCCCATGAATAGTTGTCCATTCTTGATGAGTTTCTACCCTACCTTTTGACTGTCCGTGGCTAGAGCCATCTCTTTCTTTTCTTTCTTTCTTTCTTCCTTTCCTTCCTTCTTTCTTTCTTTCTCTCTCTTTCTTTCTTTCTTTCCTTCTTTCTTTCTTCTTTCTTTCTTTCTTTCTTTCTTTCTTTCTTTCTTTCTTTCTTTCTTTCTTCTTTCTTTCTCTTTTCCTTTCCTTTTCTTTCTCTATTTCTTTCTTTCTTTCTTTCTTCTTTCTTTCTTTCTTTCTTTTTCTTTCTTTCTTTCTTCTTTCTCTTTCTTTCTTTTCTTTCTTTCTTCTTTCTTTCTTCTCCCTTCCTCCCTCCCTCCCTTCCTCCCATCCTCCCTCCCTCCCTCCCTCCCTTCCTTCCTTCCTTTCTTAATTTTTATTATTTTTTTGTGTGTGTATGCTGGATCCAGATCGCCTATGCCTATACACAGCTTGACCATAGGAGAAGAGTAACTGTGTATCCCACTCTTCTAACCTATGCTTCATTACTGGACAGAGTAAATTTAGATTTCTGCTGTCTGTTTATGCTATATTAGACTGCACAGGTGATGATTATGAGATTATGAGTTTCCAGAGCTCTCTCCTTACAGATTGTGGCTGGATCCATGTCTTCTTGTATTGGGTCCAGATTTTCCATGTGTATACCCAGACTGTCCATAAACAGATGTCTGTCCTGAGAATCTAACACTCTCTTGTGAGTATTTGTAGTGAGAGCCTCATTTTCCTATTTTATTAGATTTCTGTTGTTTTTGGCCATATCCAGGCTATTTATGGGTTGATGCTGACTGTCTGAGTTTTCTGATTGTCTTTCACTATTATTAGATTGACTATACCTGGACACCTTGGTTCACTTGTACTGACTCCAGACTCTGTAGGTAATGATTGGTTATGAGATGACTTGGCACTCTCTCCTGACTGTCCATTGAAACCATACAAACTGTCAGTGACTGGTTATTTGGCCCTCCTGAGATACTGACTATCTAGAGCTGCTTCCTCTTTCACCATGACTGGGATTTTATTTTCCTCTTTTGCTGGATCAGTATTGCCTATGACTATATTTAGACTGGTCATAGGTAGATATTGACTGTTCTTTTAAATCTCTTGATTGTTCCTCACTGTCACTGGACTAACTATAGCCAGAACGACTGGCATACAGATGGCATGTCAAAGGACTAGAATGAGACTCCCTAGGGAAGAATGTGTAGATATATAAGGGAAAAAAAGCAACAGAACTCTGGAGCCTTTTAGTCCTTAGAGGTCAAGCAGAGGAGGCAAAGCCAGTCAAATAGACCCAGAAGTACTGGCCAGGGAGGTAGGAGGAAATCCAGGAAAATATAGTGTCATGGGAGCCAGATAAAGAAGGATGGAGAGGTTAGCTAAATGCTAAATGCTGCTAAGATACTAAGCAATTGAAATGGCCATTGAATTTAGCAATAGGAATGTCGCCTGGGTGCTTGTTTGGCATTATGGATGTTGATAGGCATTTCAAACTTGATGTCACCAAAAACAGAACTCCTGATTTCTCTTTCATCAGACTATAGTGCACCTGTTGTTCTGCATCCAATTAATCATGAAAAGTATCATCATCTACCAGGTTGGTCAGACTAAAATATTGAGTCATCTTTCATTTATCTTTCCTCATCTTTTATTTACAGTCCATCAGCAAACCCTACCAGTTTTCTCTCAAAAAAGTTTTTTTTTTTCTTTTTGAGACAGGGTCTCACGCTGTCATTAAGGTTGGAGTGCAGTGGCATGATCTTGGCTCACTGTAACCTTTGCTTTCCAGGCTCAAGTGATCCTCCCACCTCAGTCTCCTAAGTAGCTGGAACCACAGATGCACACCACCATGCATGGCTAATTTTTATATTTTTGATAGAGATGGGGCTTTGCTATATACCCCAGACTGGTTTTGAACTCCTAAGCTCAGGCCATCCACACACCTTGGCCTCCCAAAGTACTGGAATTACAGGCATGACTCACCACACCCAGCCTCAAAATACTCTTAATCCGTTTTTTTTTTGTTTTGTTTTGTTTGGTTTTGTTTTTGATGGAGTCTTGCTCTGTCGCCCAGGCTGGAATGCAATGATACAGTCTTGGCTCATTGCAACCTCTGCCTCCCAAGTTCAAGCAATTTTCCTGCCTCAGCCTCCTGAGTAGCTGGGACTACAGGTTCCTGCCACCGTACCCTACTAATTTGTGTATTTTTAGTAGAGATGGGGTTTCACCATGTTAGCCAGGCTGGTCTCGAACTCCTGACCTCGTGATCCACCCACCTCGGCCTCCCAAAGTGCTGGCATTACAGGTGTGTGCCATCATGCTCGGCCTCTTAATCCATTTTACTGCTAATAATCTAGTTCATGTTACCATAATCTCAGCTATACTATTGCAACTAGTCTCTCCTCCTTCTTCATGCCCCAATCTACTATCCACACAGCAATCAGCATGAAGTTCTAAAAATGTAAATCAGTGTTACTTCCCTGCTTAAAACACTTGAGAACTTCTTATTATACTTGGGATAGTAGATAAACTTTTTCCTGTTATTCTTTTTGTGATTTGACCCTCATCTACCTCTCTGATGTCATTTTGTATCTCCTTTCTACTTGTTCACTATGCTGTGGACTCATTGACCTTTCAGCTCAGAAAAATATGGTGGCTATTCTGCCTGTTCTTTTCTAAGGACCTTGTGCTCTGAATTGTTTGTTGATGTCTTTTTCTCCACATAGTTTGTGTCTGTATGTCTGGTTTCTGTTCAGATAATGTCTCCTATGAGTAACTTTCCTTCCTATCTCTGGTACATTTATTTTCTTTATGTCATTTTATTACCATTTGAAATTTGATTAGTTTCTGTCTCCTTCCCCAGAATGTATAAGCTCTTTGAGAGTGATAATTTTGTCTGTTTACTACTGTAAACTCAGAATCTAGATTAGGGCCTTGCTCATGGTAGGCTGGCACATGTCAATTATTGTTGCATGCATGAATGATTATTGTTGCATGATAAACAAATAAGTGGTTTTGTCTGTGTGGAGTATCCTTCCTTCATTTTTCTTTAGCACATTGTTCGCGTTGTTTTCTTTGCATACCTAGCACATCATTCCTCATACAGCATGTAGTGTACTGAACTACAGTTGGCATTTTATGGAATGTCTCATATAATAAGTGATCTTTGTGAGATTAGTGATTACAGCTTATTCATGTTAGTATCTGTGTTATGTATCAAAGTACCTACTCAGCAATAGGACTCAATTACATGAATTAATGGATGAATTATTCCATTAGAATTCAACCATAATGAATTCAGATAATAGAGAATCAGAGGATTGGTTTTCTGAAATCAGATTCTATCCTGCCAATACTGATCTTACTGATCTGATCCTGTCTAAATTACCATATATCTAAAAGGATGCAGGATATAAGCATTCTCTGCATCTATAGATTCAACAAGAGGCATGACTCATCCAGTCCAGAGTAAGAGCTGCATGATATTTAGACAAAGCCCTCTGAAAATAATGGAGACAATCAATAATGCTGTATTTCTTTCAGCCCGCCATGTCTTAGGGATATACAATGCAGCAATGCAAAGAGTACTGAGTAATCTCAAAGAAGGCACATTACTGTCTTCAATTTCCTTCTCTATTAGAGAATCGTATGGTTACAGGGGACCTAAAATAACTTTTTTACAAAGCCAAGCATCCCGTAGTGTTATGCTGAGTACATCCCTAGATTTCCACCTTAGTTTATGATAAATAGGAATAGTTGGATGGATTCCCTCGTACTCAGTTCACCAACATACATGTAGGATGTTGAGTGAAGTAGTGGCAGGATACTAAAGGTCAGGAGAGTGGCCTTTTATACCTGTTAAAGATCCCTGCTCAGGAGAAGCCACCCTTTGTGAAATGGTCTGATTCATCATATTCTGATCCACCCATATCTCCACTGTTCTTTCTTTGTTGTTTATTTCCTAAATTCTTCAAGTACTAATTTCTGCTTGTTTTAGCAGCTTGCAGATTTAGGTTGACATTAGTCCTAGCTAGCATAAATTTTACGGAAGAATCTCTTTGGAAATCATAGCCTCCTTATGTACATCTGTCATCTTTTATACTTTCTTATATTTCCCTTATTGACCTAACAAATGCTTGAGGCATATGTGCTGAAGAGCAATGATCCTTGAACTGAGGTAGTAGAATATGCATGTGTAAGAGAGATCTGAAATCCAAAATAGGTGAAGAGTTTTGGAGAGTTCCCAGCTAGGATTTAATCTCATGTAGTTTGTTACTGTGAATTCCATATCTGATTATTATAGAAATATGCCTGGGAGATAATGAACTGCTACCTGTGGTCTTTGATATATTGTTATAAATGGAAATGAGAGGATATTGGAGGTTGGCAAATTTAGTTGATTATGCCAAATTGAGAAGTGAGGTCTACTTTTCTTTTTTTATCATGGTTTTTAACCCAGAATATCAAACGTATGCTGCATACTCTGCCTCGGTGAACCTTGAGACAGTGTGTTTACTCCTATAGTCAGGCCTCTAACTCTGCAGGAGACTCTCATAGAGATTCTCAGTAACTATGCAGGAGATTCTCAACCCTGGACTTTTTGTTTCTAGTCATTTGTGTCTCACTGCATATACAATCTCTCCACTTGGTTACTTAGATACTTAGATATCCCCATCATCTCAAACTGGTCCCATTATAATACTTTCCCCAGATGTATAATATTTCTTCTATTGTTTCCTATCACCCATCAGTGACATTATTTTGTGTCTCAGACTAAGGACTCTATAGTCATTCTTTATTTCTCCCCTTTCTTCATCCTCACACTCACATGACCACCATATTTTGTCAGTTTTACTGCAGATTTATCTCCTGGATCTAAGCCTCCTCTTTGTCCTCGGCATGGCTTGTTTTATTCTGGCTCTGGCTACCTTGTATCTGGATTATTTCCAGAATTTTTCTAATGAGTCTTTTTCTACCATCATGATATCTTCATATCAGTCCTTCTCCTACATTGCTGCAAGAGTCATCTTTCTATAAACAAATATTATCATGTAATTTTCTTGCCTTAAAGCTCCTGGTAAGCTCTCCTTTGTCTAGAATAAATTTCAAATTTCTTACCTTGGCTTGCAAGCCTCCTGAAAATCGGACATTAAAGTTGAATTTTTTAGTCTTTTCTACTACCACTTGTCTTTTATGGAATTGTTCCTTTGCATGTTAACAACAGTCGTTGATTATTTCTTATCTAATTAATGTCTTTGCACATGCTATTTCCTCTGCCATTTTTCTTCTCCACCAGACAAGCTTTCTTATAAATCCTATAAGATCTGGTGGGAAATCTCATCTGCTTTATGATACTTTTTGTGACGTTCTCTGCAGCTTAAGCAATTCCTTCTAGTGAAGTTACTTGCATTCAAGTAGGGCTCTTCCATAGCTCCTGTCACATCATGTTATAATTGTTTGTTCATTGCCTGTCAGCCACCATCCCTTTCACCTGGCCCCCATCTCTATGCCAGTAGGCATGATTAATATTTTGTGAGCAATAATCTTTAATGGTTTGGGACCTTTCGGGAAGGCACAGATGGTCCTCCTCTTGGAGCCACAATGTACATTAGCCTATTAAGGGTGCTGACTCTGAGAAGGTCTGTAGAACTTAAGACCCTGTGTTTAACCAGGGTTTCCCAAATATTTTTAACCAGGGAACTCTTCTTTTGAAGAACATCTATTATTAGTCAAGGAATTCAGTATGGGAAATGTTCTGCATCAAATACTCGCTAAAGCATTAAAAAATGATAGTCAAAAAGCCATTTTTGCTTAATTGTCAGCATTAGCATCTTTATCGCTCCTTATTTCTTCTCTTTTCCAGAGGCTTTTATTATTTTATTACTCCAGCCACCTAGTTGGAGTATGATATGGGTAATGTATGATATGGGTAATGCCCTCAGAGGACTGGTACCCTGGGTTCTGTTTTTACAATGGATAGGCTTCCAAATCTTACTGATTCATGGGGGCTAACAGCTTGTAAGGTAATTAGCTATTATGTTGAAGGACAATTTCTTTGAATATATGTAGATCACCATTTTAATCAGTGACTTGAATAACAGTGTGAATTGATGGCAGATATGTTATAGGTAAGATTCAGGATGCATGAAGAAGGTTTTATAGGCTGGAATGAAATGGTGGGAAAATCTAGAAGAAATAACTTTAATAGTTGTATAAAAAAGTATCCTGGGCTGCGAACCTCTACATAACTAGAATAATCACTGAAATACAGTTCCAAAAGTCCTTCAAGTGTGGACTTGTGTCAGCAATGATGCACTTTTATGCTGAACCCATAGATTCCTCAATTAATGCTGATCTTGTGGTGGTGACGACTGGCTCAGTGTCTCCATCAGCATTTTAAATCTTTTATTGGTGTGAACTGCTTTTACAATTTCCTATAGTTTTCCAGGAATTCATCTCTATTTTAAGATTCCTCAAACAACTTGGGGCAAATTCTTCCAAGGCTTGATCAGACATGTTAAATGACATTCCCAGTAGTGGTAAGCATATGAGTGAAATTATGTGGAAGACGTGCCTTTTGAGTTTTGACTGCTTCAGGTTGAATTTTTTTCTCCTCTGGGGTACTTTTAAGGGGTTAGAGGGTTTTGCTGTCTCCCTTTCTTCAAAATTTTTGATCTACATGACCTGGAATCAAACTTTTTCCCACTTATTACTCTTTCTTTGTTGGAACCCATTAGTACTCATGCAAAGTGTGCTCCTGTCAGCTAAAATAACTATCACTGAATTATGCATAATTCATTTGTAGTATGGGTACATTTCAACTAATATTTGTATTTTTCTTATGCAATTTATATATTTTTTAAAAAAACCTTTTAAGGTAAGTATACATGATTGGGTTGACTTAAATAACACAATCATCATTATATTGGTATGTTTCTTGAATAGAGCAGGCCAGCCTCCAGGCAGAGTCTGGCTCACTTGAGTTTGCTTCCTGGCTCTTCCATTTACTGTTGTATGACCTTGGGCAATTACTTAGCTTTTCTTAGTCTGTTTCCTCATCATCAAAGTAAGGATGATAATGCCTATTTTAAAGGCTGTTGAAGTATTAAGTAAGCTAATTATGTCAATTATAGGACATATTGTGTAACATTTTAGTTACATTAAAACTCATAGCTATTATTATATAATTATCAGAGTTTAGTTATCGTCCTATTATTGGCTATATTAATTGTGCGAACTTTTGTACTTGTATGTATTTCCAGTAAGAGAGCTTCTGGGAATGTAAATGTCTTTTTCTTTTTCAGGGATTTTTTTCTTAGTGGTTATCTCCTTGGAGGCCTCATGAAGAAGGATGTGGGTTCTGTAGGGTACAGTGTGATCTTGGTCCTGCATAATCTCCTTTCTAAACTTCAGAAAATCATGGTAGGTTTTCATGTCTTATAGATAAAGCACAACTTCAGGGAAATTGTAACTTACAAGTAGAGTTCCCTCAAATATTGTCTTTTGCTTTTTTATTTCCTCTGTATTTTTACACCCTATGAATGAGAATCTTATTGGAAAAATGGAAAACATGTAGCAAAAGATCCAGGAACATTATAAGAAGAAAGTAGTGAGAGGAATGGGATAGGAGTGGGGACAAATAGTGTACTAAATGGTTAAAAACAAACAAACAAACAAAAATCGCACTCATCCCTTTCTCTCATTGTCCCTGCTGACTTCAGGTGTACTAGTTTCTGTGCTGTCTCTCCCGCAAATGTAATGTAGTCTTCTATCTAACATCACATTGTAAATATTAATATTTAATGTGATTTTATTTGGGAGGCATAGTTAGGGACTTGGCCAGGGTTCTGGCTAGCTTGAGCCTAGGGGTTGGAACCTGCTCTGTAGCTTGAACATTAGTCTGCCTTTCTTTCTGGCTACACTTTCTGGCTATACTCTCGCATTTCTTTCTTTCTAGCTACACTCTTCTTCTTTTCTACCAAGACTTTTAGATGTCAAAGTTCCCAAGCTGAATTTCTAGATGCCTTTTCTTCTGTTAAGCTTTCCCACCATGCTGGACTGTTCTCTTTTACTCCTAAAATTATTTCATGATCTTGCTGGGTTAACCATTACTTTGTACCCTAAACTTTCTGGCATCTTGGGGTCTTCAGCATTTAGGGCACTGAAGCCTAATTTTGACATGTGGAACTGAAGACAGAATTAGGAAGTAATTATCAAAGAGTCCTCAAATGGTTAGAAGATGTATAGGAGAGGGAAGCATGGGGAAAAATACAAGTCAGCCTTTGGAAGGGATGGACAGTAGGACAGGCAGAGTAGGGAAGATGCATAAGGTATTCTACTTTTGATTGTCTGCATCCTAATCTGTTTTGTTTTCTGTGTTTTTAATTGAAATTATATATATATAATACTTCATATATGTATGTAAATATGTATATATACAGAAAAGTACACAAATCAGAAGTGTACAAATGGATGAATTATCTCAAACTGAACCATCCATGTAACCAACTCCCAGATTACAAAATATAATGTTACTAGCACCCCCAGAAGCCCCCACTTATTTTTCCTGTCCGGCACTCCCCACTCTCTTAAATAGTAATAATTATCTTGACTTCTAATACCATAAATTAGTTTTACCTGTTTTGGAGCTTTATATAAAAGGAATCATATAATGATTTTATATCTAACTTCTTTGACATAACACCCATGTTTATGCATGTAGCCATAAACATGGCTACATTCACTCTTTGTTCTATGGTATTACATTAAATGAATGTGGTACAAATGATATGTTCTTTCTCCTAATGATGGCTATTTGGGTAATTTCCAGTTTTGGATTAATAAAAATAGTGCTACTACATATGTTGTTGTATGTTTCTTTTGGTTAACATATGTATGCATATCCGTTCCCTTCTCTTCCTAGTGTGCTGATAGCTTTTAATCACAATTCAGTAATAAATTTTGTTATAACAATGAATATTTATTTTGTCATTGACAAGTAACTTATTGGGTATGTTTCCAAATAAATACATGGAAAGTGTGAAGCTCAGGCAGAGAAGCAGTAAGTCATAATATTAACCATTGGTTATTTATCAGTGTTGTTAATTTTTTAAACTATGCTTTAAGTTCTGGGATACATGTGCAGAACATGCAGGTTTGTTACATAGGTATACACATGCCATGGTGGCTTGCTGCATCCATCACCCCGTCATCTACATTGGGTATTTCTCCTAATGCTATCCCTCCTCTATTCCCCCACTCCCTGCTATTCCTCCCCTAGCCCCCCACCCCCTGATAGGTCCCAGTGTGTGATGTTCCCCTTCCTGTGTCCATGTGTTCTCATTGTTCAACACCCACTTGTGAGTGAGAACAAGTGGTGTTGGTGTTTGGTTTTCTGTTCTTATGTCAGTTTGCTGAGAATGATGGTTTCCTGCTTTATCTATGTCCCTGCAAAGGACATGAACTCATCCAGTGTTGTTAATATTAACCTTTGACTATTTATCAACATTGTTAATATTCTTGCAAATCCAGTCGTTTGAATTCATGACAACATAGATCATGTCAATAAATTCAAGAGTTTCTGGGTCCAGTAGGCCAGAAAATGGAGATAGGAGATGGCCTGTTCTTAATTAGAAATCTCTTTCTTATCCATTTATCATGTAAGGATGCAATATTGTGTAATGGACAGGAATAGAAGCTTTGGCATTTTACTGCCTGGGAATAAAATCTGGTACCATTGAGAAAAATTATTATGCTTTAATATCCTCATCTCTAAAATACACATAATAACAATACTTACCTCAATATTATTAGAAGATTAAGTGAGTTAGTCCATGTAAAATCCTCAGTAGAATATTTGGCATATATAAAACTTTATAGTGTAATATGCCACAAGGTGTACAGCAACAGTTTTAGATTCCAGAATTATATATCCAGGCCTGTAGTTTTTAATTTTTGGAGAATCGTGGCCAGCTTTTATAAAATTAATTTAAAATATCCAAAAAAGCAAGTAATTTTAGCTCAGAGATTAAAAAAAGACATTTAGCTGGATCTCAAATGAAATAAGTGTACGAACTCCCTCCAGCTTAGGAAATGGTGAGCTTGGTCAGTATTGGTTTAATAGTAATTTTTCTCTCATTTTTCTTCTACTATATTCATCCAGAGAAGCTCGGGTACTTATAAAATGCCTAACACCAAAAAGTAAAGTTACATTTTGGAATTAGCTAAAATTCTCTTTGGAAATAGCTGCAGTTTACATAAATAAAATAAGTACTTGAATTCAGTGCAGTGCCCTAGGTGATGGCAAGCTCTTAAGCAGTTTATGCTCTGTAGGGTTCTGAGGTAAATGTAGGAGCTTTATTCTCAAGGATTTTATTGACTCATTCCCCAGTTGACTTCGTTCCAAATTGGGACTTGAGTCTCAGGATCTTACAGTTTACTTTTTTTTCTTTGTAGTACCTTGGAGTTGTGGAGGCATGTTTAGAAGCAGATCTGAGTTTTGCCACACTGGAATTTATTTATTCATTGAACAAATGTTTGATACCTACTACAGTTCTCTCTTTAGCTGTAAGTATTTAAAATTTATGATATGAGTTTGACCCTGTTCCTGGTTTGGTTGCCACTGGTGAAATTTTAATTTGTTTGTATTCTATTTTGTCTACTTTGTTAAGTATGTAGAGAGCGACATTTGTAATGTGTCTTGGTTGGGAAGGTTTTCCTCACCACCGTTGTTCAGGATGTCCTAGAAAGGGACTGTAGTGTTACAGCTGTCCACTTGAGGAATATCCTTCATATACTTCACTCTTAACTTTTCCCTCAAAGTCTCCCAGCCAGGTCATCTGCACAATATCTTTTTTCTTTCCTTCAGTAAAAAACTAAGCATTATTTTCACTGGAAAAGGTGAAGTGAGAAGAGGGGTTGGAATTTCTACTGTAGCCTCCTGAACATTCTTAGCTGTTCTAGGATGGTCAGAAAACCCAGCAGTGTTATCTATAGACTTCCTAATCCACAGTGTTTCTCTCTTCTCTCCAAGAGAGGTTTTTTTGGTTGCTGTATAACAAACAATCCCGATACTTAGTGGTTTGAAACTCCAGTCATTCTATTGTATTTCAGGATTCTATGGATTAAGAATATGGGCATAGCTCAGCTGGGTAAAACTTCTGGGTAAAACTTGGCTGGAATCAGTAGTGTTCAGCCGTGGGCTAGGCTGAACTCCACTCACATAGAGCTCTGGCACAATGACTAGAAAACTGGGCTTGACTATATCCCCTTATCTGTATTTTCAGGGATTGTCCACATGATTTTTCTAGCAGGGTAGTCAGAATTTTTACATGGCAGCAGGGAACCAACAAGTTTTAAAAATAAAGATCAACCGAATGAAAATAAGCAAATGCTATTTATTCAGAGTTTGCTGTAGCAAAGGAGTCAGCTACTGTGACTTTAAAAGGCCATTCCACCATTCTGTCAATCCAGCTGCTCCAGGATGATGGCAAATGCAGTAAGACCAGTGAATTCCATGAGCATGAGCCCACTGCCACATTTCTTTAGCTGTAAAGTGAGTGTCTTGGTCAGAGGCAATGCCATATGGAATACCATGAAGATGGATAAGGCATTCTGTGAGTCCATGGATGGTAGTCTTGGCAGAAGCATTGCATGCAGGATGGGCAAACCCATATCCACAGTGTCTGTTCTGGTGAGGATAAACTGCTTCCTTTTCCGTGATGAAAGAGGCCCAATATAATTAACCTGCCACCAAGTAGCTGGCTAATCACCCCAAGGAATGATGCCATGTCAAGGGCTCAGTGTTGGCACATTGCTGCTGACAAATTGGGCACTCAGCAGTGGCCATAACCAGATCAGCCTTGATGAGTGGAAGTTCATGTTGCTGAGCTCACGTGTAACCTCCATCCTTGCCACCATGGACATTGTTCATGGGCCCACTGGGTGATGACAGGGGAGGCTGGGTAAAGAGACTGAGTAGTATCCACAGAATGATTCATCCAATCCACTTGATTGTTAAAATCCTCCTCTGCTGAGGTCAACCTTTGGTGAGCACTCACATTAGATACAAATATCTTTGCAGTTTTGACCACTCAGAGAGGTCCATCTATATGCCTCTTCCTCAAATTTCTTTGTCACCAATTTTCCAATCATGCCTCTTCTAAGTCTCTGACTATCCAGCCAAACCATTGGCTATAGTCCATGAATTAGTATATATTCATGCATCTGGCAATTTGTCTTTTCAAGTGAAGTACATTGAAGTTCTGCCCACTGGGAAGATTTTCCTCACCACTGTCCTCAGGATGTCCTCTAGGTCAGCCCTTTCTAAAGGGGCTGTAATGCTACAGCTGTCCTCTTTCACATGGTACCTTCATATTGGCATATTGTGCAGAGCCCTCTATAAAACCAGGCCCTAGCCTTCTCTTTTTCTGTCAACTGATCATAGGGAACTCCCCATGAGGCCATCAGTGCAGGCTGGAGAAAGAGGTCAGGGTGGCAGGAATGGGGATGAGGAAACTTACAATCATGGCAGAAGGGGAAGCAAACACATCCTTCTTAACATGACAGCAGCAAGGAAAAGAATGTGTTTGCTTCCCCTTCCACCATGATTGTAAGTTTCTTTGGGCCTCAGTAGCCATGCTGAACTGTGAGTCAATTAAACCTCTTTTCTTTGTAAATTATCCAGTCATGGGATATGTATTTATTAGTAACATGAGAGTGAACTAATACAATGATAAATACTGCTCTGCTATTTACCTGGGTAGTATAATGGTCTCCTCGCTAGTCTTGCCTCTGGTCTCATATCCTTTCTTTCTTGCTGCCAAAATATTTATCATGTGATTTCTGATTAAAACCCCTTTTTTTCCCCTACTATCGGATGATAGAGACCTAAAATCTTAGCGTGTCTTATAAGGCTCTTTTTGATCTGATTTGCATGTTTTCAGAATAATTTTGTGCCATGCCCCTCACACTCACCATATATCTTGACTATACTGAACTGCTGCCATCAGTTTCTTGAGCCCACCTTTATTTTTCTTTGGGATGTTGCACAGGTTGTTTAATCCCCCTGAAATACTTTCCATCCCAAATCAAGCTGGCACATTTCCAGTCATTTCTAGAGTTTCATTGCCCATGTCTGTTAAATTCAGAAGTTTTATCTGAGCCACCTCTTCCATACCACTAAACACAGTTAGCTGGTACCACTATACTTTATGTTACCACTGCATGTTAATAATATTTTTAAAAGATTATTTGTCACACTGTTGTATCTTTCCTCCCTGGTCAGTGAACTTCTGAAGGACATATCTGTCTTTCCAATCTTTGTATATTCCATCTGGTATAGAGCCTGACAATTAAATGCTCATTACTTTTCTTCTAATGAAAGAATGAGGTAATATTGCAACAAGAGCCAGATAACCACATTATTTAGATTCTTACTAGTCTAAGCCTTATTTTTAGCCTTCTATTTAAAGATTTGTGGACATGTGTTTGGCACATAGATAGAGCCCAGTCATGTATTGCTATGTTTTGTCCAGTTTTTCATCACGTGATAGTGGATCAAGTCTTTAAAGGGAAAGAGCAATAGAAACTGATGGCAATATGTCCCAACAAAGAGCTAGGGATTATATTGCTCATTTTCATATGAAACTATATAGATACATTATTTGTTAAATTGAAAACCACAATCTTATTTCCTATAGCTAAGTCACTTTGGTAATAGCATAGGCCATGACTATAAATTTTTTGTTTTAGTACAATTTTATTTACAAAAGCAGATAACAAACTGCATGGGCCTTTGGGCCATAGTTTGCCAACCACTGTTCTAATACATAAGCATCGTATATCTCTCCATTTATTTAGGGCTTCTTAATTTCTTTTAACAATATTTTATACTTTTTGGTCTTGTGGTCTTATATGTTTTTTGATTAAATTTATTCCTAGGAATTTTATGGTTAAATTTATTCCTAGGAATTTTATGTTTTTTTTTTTAAATTGACACAATATTTTATATACCTATAGGGTATGTGTGATATTTTGTTGCATGCATAAAATGTGTAATTTTCAAGTCAGGGTATTTGGGGTAGATATCACCTTGAGTATTTATTATTTCTGTGTTTTGGGGACATTTCAAGTTCTGTCTTCTAGCTGCTTTAAAATATTTAATTCATTGTTACTAACTATAGTCACCCTACTTTGCTATCAAACATTAGAACTTATACCTTATATCTATATATTTATACCCATTGGCCAACCTCACTCCATTCCCCCTCTCATCACACTTTTTTCCCAGACTCTAGTATCTATCATTCCACTCTCTATCTTCATGAAATCAATGTTTTTCTGCCTTACATATGAGTGAGAACTCATATTTGTCTTTCTGTGTATGACTTACTTAATGTAACATAATGATGTTTATTTCCCCCCATCTTGCTGCAAATGACATTATTTCATTCAATTTTATAGCTGAATAGTATTTCCTTGTATAAGTCATGTTTCTCCAGAGGAACAGAATCAATAGTATACATACATATATACTTATGTATGTGTGTGTATATATAGGTACACACATATATATGTATATATAGTAATGCATGTGTATATTATTATAGTAATCAAAACAGTAAGGCATTGGTATAAAAACAGACTCATAGAACGATGGAACAGAATAGAGAATCTGAATGTATATATGCATGTATATAATATATATATGTGTATATGTACATATGTATATATACGCATATATATGTATATAGCTAGAGCCCAGTATATATGTATATATGTAATATGTATTGTAATATGCATATATACATAATATGTAGGGTATACATATATACATATTGTATATTGTATACATATATACGTAATATGTATAATATTGGTATATTACAAAGCTATAATCAAAACAGTATGACATTGGTATAAAAACAGACTCGTAGACCAATGGAACAGAATAGAGAATCTGAATGTATATATGTATGTATCTAATATATACATATATATATATACACATATATATATAAACATGTTTATCAGGAAAAATTACCTTATACAACTACAAAGGCAATGTCCCATGATAAGCCATCGGCAAACTGGGGAATGAGAAAAGCTGCCAGCATGGCACAGTTGAATTCCAAAAAGCCTCAAAACCAGGGAAGCTGACAGTGCAGCTCCCAGTCTGAGGCTAAAGGCCTGAGAGCCCCCAGGCAGCTGCTAATGCAAAATTGAGTGTTCAAAGGCTGAAGAACCTAAAGTTTGGTGTCTAAAGCCAGGAGGCAAAAAGGTGACTTGCTCTGACAGAGAGAAAAAGATGAGGGCAAGCAAGCTGAATATCCTCCTCATCTGCCTGCTTTGTTCTAGCCCGACTAGCAGCCAATTGGATGGTGTCTGCCCACATTAAAGGCAAGTCTTCTCTTGCTGTCTGCTGACTCACATGTCATTCTCCTCTGGAAACACCCTCACAGACATACCCAGAAAAAATGCTTCACCTGTCCATATAGACACCCTTCAATTCAATAAAGCTGACACATAATATTAACTATACTGCAATTTCTTTATCCATTGGTCCA